ACCAACCCCCGAGCACCGCCAGGTGTGCCCCCCACCCCCACCCCCAAGCAACCAAACAGGGGCTAGAGCATCCCATCTGGTCCCCCAGGCACGGCCAGAAGTGGTTCCTGAGTGCAGAGCTAAGAGTAGCCCCTGAGCATAGCTGGGTATGGCCCCAAAAACAACAGCAAAAAAAATCTTTGAAAGAGGAAATCTCCAGATGGTTTTCCACTTAACTACTCTAAACATGTAAAGGAAGAAAAAAAAAAAACCACCATTTTTTGCCTTATTTCTTAATTTACACTAAACTAGACCAAGTTCAAAAACATAAAAAGTTGACTTGTACCTGTGAAAATTGATGTAAACAGTCTCAGCAGAACATTAGCTAATTGAATTCAGCAATATATAGGAATAGTACATCTTTGCAAAATCAAGTCTTAATCCTGGAATGCATGGCCGATTCAGGATTTGAAAACAGGCCAGTGTGTTCTGCCCGGCCAGCAGGCAAAGGAGTAAGATCACATGGTCACAGCAGCGGAGAGAGAGCCAGAACCCCAATCCATCTCCACAACCTGTGCTTAATTTTGAAAGCACTGATTTCTCACGTGGAAAGGAAACCTCACTCTGACATAGGGCTTCTATAAAAAATCCTTCAGCTGCTGTAGAGATCGGACGCCTTCTCAGATCAGGGAGAGGAGAAGAAGGCTACTCCCAGTCCTTCTGTTCAGTATTGTCGTAGAAGCTTCCGCCAGTGTAATAAGACAAGAAATAAAATGTGTAAGAACTGGGGAGTAGGAAAGAGAACTCTCCAGCTTATGGATAATACACCGATCAGTGTTGTTTTCTGTTTTTTTTTTAAGTCTGCTTAAACAAATTAACAAGCATCCTGTGACTAAGGAAAATTTTGCAAGGTTTCAGGATAAAAGATCTGCACCAATCAGTCTTTTTCTATAAGCAGTGTGCAATTTGGTTTCTTAAAAAAAATTCTTTTTAAAATTGTATTGAAACTTACTTAGAAAGATGTGAGAGGAGAGGATGGGAGAAGTGTGTACTCCAGAGAGAGCACAGGCTTCTCCAGAGTGGAAAAACCAAGCAAAGAAGCAGAGAGACAAGTGAGTGAGATGTGTGTTCAGGGAGGGCCCGGGTTTGAGGAGCAGGCCTCACTGCAAAGTTTGGAAGTCCAGCTATTAAAACCTAGGCAGGAGAAAAGTGAAATTTCCCAGAGAAAAAATGAAATTCTGAAGTGTAAATACAAAACCCATATAGTAGGTCTCAATGTGCAATTTGGAAGTAAAAATATAACCGGTGCAAGAGAAAAGTGATATTTTTCAGAGAAAATTGAAATTCTGAAGTGTAAATACAAACCCCAAACAGTACATGGATTCTATAAAATTGCCCTGCTATGTAATACTAGGGTGATTTTTTAAAAATTAAAATATATTTTTTTATTGAAATATTTTTTTAGTTTTTTGGGCTGGAGTGATAGCACACTGCCTTGCACTTGGCCATCCTGGGTTCGATTCCCAGCATCCCATATGGTCCCCCAAGCACCGCCAGGAGTGACTCCTGAGTGCAGAGCTAGAAGTAACCCCTGTGCATTGCTGGGTGTGACCCAAAAAGCAAAAAAAAACAAAAAAATTTAGTTTTGAGAAGTAAAGAATAATAATGCAAACACCACATCAAACTATTAAACTTAATCCTGCTCAAATAGTCTGGTGAAATGTGCAATACCTTTAAACATTATTTTAATGACTTTCTATTTGATGTAAGTTGCCTGTGTATGCAGAACGCCATTATTTTATTTATTTATTTATTTTTATTTTTTTGCTTTTTGGGTCACACCTGGCGATGCACAGGGGTTACTCCTGGCTCTGCACTCAGGAGTTACTCCTGGCAGTGCTCAGGGAACCATATGGGATGCTGGGAATCGAACCTGGGTCAGCCACATGCAAGGCAAACCCATTGTGCTATCCCCAGTCCCAGAACACCATTATTTTAAAAGAATGAAATATTTATCTTTTTTCTTTAATTTAAAATAGTATCTTAAAGTATTTTAATTTCATCCTAAAAATTCTTTTTCTAATTCAGCCAATTAGAAATTCTTTCTACCTATCTTTGCCAAAGAAACAAGCACAACATATTAAGCTCATTAAACATACTATATAGATCAAAAGCACATCCGTCTTTTCATTAGCAGTTAATCCAGAGAAAAATATAAGATTGATTAGTAATAGATATGTCTAAAATAATCTGAAATATGTGTGTGTATGTGTGAGTGTGTATAGTTGCTTTTTAATTTAAAATCAGTAAAAGTTTTTTGTTGTGCTTTAGACTTGCTTAGAGACATGACTGATGGGTCTCAGTTGATGAGTTGTAGTCAACTTGTGGACTAGGCACAAAAAATATATATTTTCTATAAAGTAATAGAATGTTGTTTCTTCTTATTAACCTTTTGTGTTTTTTCTGATTTTTAGTTTTAAGCTTTGTATTTTCTATTCATTGCACAAAGGGTTTTTGTTGTTGTTAATACTACTGGTGTGTATTTGTTCTGTGGTTAATAAAAAGGAGCTTACCAAATTAATACCTGGAAAAAAATAAGGATGTTTATGTTGTCTGTCACCATTTGACAATCATAACCTGTTCTTTTTCTAAGGCCGTAATAGACAGTGATTTTGCACTCAGTCCTCACACATAAAAGCTTAAGAGTGGAATTCCCTACAGATTGTGATGAGGCTGAACTCAGTGCTCACCTATCAAAAGGAAAGGTTTCGTAGAAGATATTGGTGAAAAGACACACTTCACCAAACTGTGCTTTGCTCAGTCCGCAGAGTTTGCCCAACCTAAAGCAGTTTTCTTGCCTTTGTAATTTAGCAGCATAGACAAAGAAATTTCAGATATGCTAGTTAAATTCAGGTTGACCCCCAGTTACTTAGAATAGGTACTATTCTCGAAAATCAGAATTAAACTCAGAATAATCCCAAGCATGGGACGGGGGGTGGAAGTGACAAAACTTCTCCTTTAAGGTAAAATTAGGATGAGCATTACCCTTCCTGTGAAGAAGGGAATTAAGCGGGTTGATGGATCGATGCTTTCCAGTGCCTCACCTGGTAGGATTGATGCTTCCCGCTGCCTCACCTTTCCGGTTCCATCCTGGGGAACTCGGAAATCACCCGGACACTCATGGTCTAGTGATGAGAAATGCCCATCTGACCGTGTCCTTCTCTGCTCTGCAGCCCATAACCTAACACCTGCTTCCTATCTTTTTTTAAATTTTTCCTTTTTGGGTCATACCCAGTGATGCACAGGGGTTACTTCTGGCTCATGCACTCAGGAATTACCCCTGGCGGTGCTCGGGGACCATATGGGATGCTAGAAATTGAACTCAGGTCGGCCACATGCAAGGCAAACGCCCTACCCACTGTACTGTCACTCCGGCCCCTAACACCTGCTTCCTAATTTCCAACTCAGTGCCAATAACCAGAGTTAGTTTTGTGAGAATCATGAGGACCATGAACTGTGTAACATGTCTGTTACAGGGTGGGAGTGGGGGGCTACGTGTCCTGAGCAGCAGATCTCACTGTGGCATTCAGATCTAACACAGGGGCAGGAATGACGACTCAGAGGCCTGGCGCCCAGGCCTTGCACGCGAGGGGCCTGGGTTCCATCCCCAGTCCCTCATGATTTCCCCAGAGCACTGCTGGCAGCAATCCCCAAGCATCGTAGCACAGTGCTAGAAAAGCAAACATGTCCCAGGGACCCTTGTCTTCATATGCTGCATGGGAACACATATGTAACAGTCAGTCCCTTCCTCGGTGTAAAGATTGGCTCTCGATACCTGCATCCTGCACTCATTCCACTCTCTGCAGGGTGCTCAGGGGCAGTGCTGTGGATAAGGAAGCCTCGTGTATAATTAGGGGCCCAAGAGTTCATTCATGGGACTGGAGTGATAGTACAGCAGGGAGGGCGCCTGCCACGCATGCAGCCAATCCAGGTTCCATCCCTGGCATCCCGTATGGTCTCCTGAGCCAGGAGTAACCCTTGGAGCACTGCCACGGGTGACCCAAAAACCAAAAAGGAAGAAAAAAGGAAAACCAAGAGTTCAGCCTGTCGCCCAGGTGACACAGCAGCTCAAGGACAGGCGGCTGGAGAGAGAGAGAATAGCAGGCAGGGCACTTCTCTTGCACAAGGTCAGCCCAGGTTCTGTCCCCATCCCCATTTGGTCCCCCAGCCGGGAGTGATCTCTGAGCGCGAACAGGTGTGGCCCCCCAATCCAGCCAACCAGCCCCAAATCCTTTTTTGTATGTTTGGAACCCAAGTAACTTCTTCCTTCTGTAGCTTTCTGTTAGGTTTAAGGCTGCAAGGGAGAGAAGTCTGGAAGCGGGGGCTCTGTTCTGCCTGGGGAATGGCTTCCCATCCCTGTGGGACTCTCCTGTCCCCAGGGATGATGGCGCCAGCATGCTGCTTTGCCCCTTCCCACCCTTTCCCTGCTCCTGTTCCTCTCCCTGCCTTGCACCCGGCACCGGGCGTGCAAGCAGGGCTTGGACTTCTACCCAGGAACCCACGCCCCCAGGCCCTCTTTTCCTGTTGCCTTTTAAAGAATCAGTGTACTTTTAAGATCAGAGGTGGGTAGGTGAGAGACCCAGAGAGGAACAGGAACAGACACTCGGTGTGTCTTGTCATTACGTTCCCGACGGAGGGCCAGAACAGAGCTCTGGGCCTCGGCCTCCCGCACCTTACCCACAGCTCGGGCTGTCTCGGGGAACTCACAGCTGCGGAGTGGGGAGCAAGTTGGGTAGGGGGGCTCATGGTGGCGGGAGGAGAGCCCATTGTTACAGAAGAGTGTTATTTCTGGGAGTTTCCGCTTAACTTAGTGAACTTGCTATGTACCTAAATGGAGGGGACTGTAAATTAAGGGAGACGACAATTCCGCCACTGAACCACAGATGCGGGCCTGAAGAATATGCTTCATCAATCCTGAAATCTTTTTTCTTTTTCTTTCTTTCTTTTCTTTTTTTGCATAGTATGAACCCAGAGGACCTGGTCGGCCCTTGTACCAAAGAAGAATATCCTCTAGCTCAGTGCAGCCTTGTTCTGAAGAAGTGAGCCCTCCTCAAGACGGTCTTGCTCAGCGGAAAGAGCTTCAGGACCACGAGAACCCGCCTCCTTTCAGCTTCTCATCCCCAGAGTCCTGGGCCAACACCACCTCATCTTCCCCCTACCAGAACATTCCGTGCAATGGATCGAGCAGGGCGGCTCAGCCCAGAGAGTTGATAGGTAAGACCAGAGCTGGTAGGTAGTAGGAATGGCACTTTCAGCTACTCAGCTCCTGGGTATTGGCACAGATTTTTCTTCTTCTTCTTCTTCTTCCTCCATTCCTGCCATCTGTATTATCTTTGAGCATGAGTCAGTGCTCACAGCTCTGCAGATGAGCCTCAGAAATGATTGATGCCATGTTTACAGATGGTGCACTCTTCCTGCAATTGGAAATGTATTCTTTTGACCTGGGAGAAGTCATGGGATTAAAAACCTTTCTAGGGGCCAGGGAGATGGTGGTGGTGATGATGATGGTGATGATGATGATGATGATGATGATAATGATGATGATGATGATGATGATGCCAGTGACATGACGACGATGACTGAAAGGGTTGGAGCATGGGCTTTGTTCTACCCCCAGCACCACATGAGTCCCTCCCCCCATGCACACACACATACATCCCACCAGGAGGAAACCCCTCACCCCTCCACCACCACCCCAAAAAAAATATTAAAACCCAACTATTTCTAAATAGATCAGATTCCCTTTGCTTCGGACAGTTTGCCTTTTCTGTATTTTGTTTTTTCTGCAGGGGCAGAGGTGAATAGTGAGAACGATATTAGTTGTTTGTTTGTTTTTTTTTTTTTTAAGAATTTATTGCCAGCTAAGCTGTTGACAGTTTTCTATGTGATAAGAGCTCAGCCGTAAGATAAAGCAATAAAGATAAAGGTTTTTGAGTTTTAGGAATTCTGTGTTTATTTCTCATTTTCTAATCAACTGAGAAATTTAAGGCCACAGAAGAAAAAAAACTGGCATAGAAAAGCATGGCTTTGAACAGTTGAAAGGCTCTCGTATCACGGGAAATCTAAAATGTTCCTCTGTAGCCTTGAATGCACTTTTATCTTTGTTCTGCCCTCTTCCCCCCTCCCCTTTTTTTTTCAATGTAGAATGTAAAAGTCAAATAATATTATTTGAGTTCTCAAATCCGTAACCCTCTCTTTGTGGGCGATAAATGTTGATCTTTGTGAACAGGCCTGGGATCTCTGGCGAATTTCTGCCCTGCTGGTAGCAACCTTTGTTTGAAATTAATTTTTTCATCTCTAGAATGTGAATCCATTGCTCTGTAACACTGACTGTGTGCAGACATGCGTCTTTTTAGAGCCATAGCTATGGAAGGGACATACATGAAAAAGACGATAGGCTGGTTTCTGGCCAGAGATATTGTCATTTTAATCTTCAAACATTTCTAATGCCTGCTCTGAGTAGGCTTCTGTATTTTGTCTGGGGTCTCTGTCAAATTACTGTTATTAGTCATTATTCTTTTTTTTTTTTTTTTTTTTTTTTTTTTTTTTTTTTTTTTTGCTTTTTCGGTCACACCTGGTGATGCACAGGGGTTACTCCTGGCTCATGCACTCAGAAATTACTCCTGGCAGTGCTCAGGGGACCATATGGAAATCGAACCCAGGTTGGTTGCATGAAAGGCAAATGCCCTACCAACTGTTCTATCACTCCAGCCCCTTAGTTATTATTCTTGTTTGTTTTTTGAGCCTGGTCCTGTGCTCCTTGCAGCAGGTCCCCTATAGCCTGCTGGGGATGGAACTCTCATTGACTAGTGCAATTCTAGGCAAGTGCCCTACCCACTCAAATTATTGTATTTCTTAAGAAACATCTAAGTTAAAACCAGATGTTACTTTTTTTTGTTGTTTATTTTTAAAATATCATTTTTTTCCTCCTTTTGGGAGGAGGGGGGTAGAGCAGCACTCTACCCAGCAGTGCTCAGGGCTTTCTCCTGGCCCAGTGCTCAGGGATCACTCCTGGCAGTGCTAGAGATCGAACCTGGGCCAACCAGGTATACAAAGCAGAATTCCTACCGGGTGTACCTTCTCTCTGCCTGCCCCCATCTAATTTTTAAGGCATTTTATTTTACTTTGGAAAAAAATGTTTATTTTGGTTTTTGAACCATACCTAGCAATGTTCAGGGCTGCTCCCAGCCCAGCGTTTAGGAGCCGTGTGGCAGTGGGGGTCGAATCCAGGCTCCGTGCGTGCAAAGCCAGGCAGCCCGTGCCCTTTGAACAATCTCTCCGGCATCCCCACTGAATTTTAGGAAATTCTTTTAGCCAAAGTCGGTAAAAATAAACGTGAATTAATAAGGTGCAGAATTCCTGAATGAGTACCCCCAAACATAAGTCATTTACAACATCTTTTCCCCAGATATGAAATTAGTATTTCCTTCTTAGCTTGGAGACACCTTGTAGTACCTTGTTGTGATCAGATGAAAAACACAGGGGAATTTGTACATAAACACCAGTGATCAGAGAAATGCAGATTGACCATTAGCAAGCTCCTTATTTGTAAAAGTTAAAACCTCCATTGTTGGGCTTGGGGAGGGAAAGAGGCAATTGTCCTTGCTGTGTGTGACTCAACCCTGTCTTCCTGCAGGGATGTTTGACCACTGACCAGCATCTCGGATTGGGCAAGCGCCCAGGGACCCAACCATTATTCTTCTAGACATTTGTCCTTAGGGAATAGTCAGGAACATAAAAGATTTTTCTGTAACAACATCATAGTCTACAAAAGTCAAAAATGATAACCCAAATTTAAAATGAAGAGTCATTTAAATGACTTAGAAAGTTTTCTGCATGATATGTCATAGGAAAACAAAAATATACCAAGGCCTGTTATGCAGGGATATAAATGACTCGTTTCCTTTTTTCTTTTCTTTTTTCCTTCTTTTTTTTTTTTTACCTTCCTGTCATTTCTAAGTTACTTTAGATGAATATGCACTCTGATTATAATCCAGATACTGTGTTAATTAAATGCTTAAGAAATTGAAAACAAAAGCAGTGTCAAGGCTGCCTGTGGTGCTGCTGGCCACGTGACCCGGAGGCCGGGTTCTAGAAGGACCTGGGAAGGACCAGAGAGATAGGACGGGTTGAGGCACTTGCCTGCCCAGATATGTCCCCGCAGAGCACTGCCAGGAGTGAGCTCTGAGCACCACCAGGCGTGGACCAAAAACCCAGAGGGAGAGGAGAGAGAGAGAGGGGTTAAGTGCTGGGGGTTAAGTTCAGGGCTTCCTCAGCACAGGGCAAGGGCTCTGCAGAGTTACACCCCCAGGCCACAGGTTCTTCTTGTTGTTGTTTATTTTTTGTTTGGGGGTGTCTCTCCTGGCAGTGCCTGGGGGATCTGGTCCCGAGGCTCAAACCTGGGCCTCCTACATGCACTTAACTAACCCCAAGCTCTCTTTGCATCCCTGAAAACCCTCGGACTTTCTCTCCATCCCTAAAGTTAGTTTTTTGGTTTTTTGGTGGGGATGTGGGAGGTGTTCGGGGACACACCTAGCTCTACTCCAGCTCACCCCTGACTCTGTGCTCTGTGCTCAGGGATCCTTCCTGAATCTGGGTCCAGGGCATGCCAGGCCAGCGCCTCCCCACTCACGGGAGCCCCTGGCTTTGCTTTTCCCGGTGTCAGCCCTCGAGTCTGCCTAGGTCATTCCACCCAGTGACCCGAGAAGTGGGCTCAGCTTCAACAGTTTGTGTGTGTGTGTGTGTGTGTGTGTGTGTGTGAGAGAGAGAGAGAGAGAGAGAGAGAGAGAGAGAGAGAGAGAGAGAGAGAGAAGCGGCCTGTCCCTCTGGCTGCCTTGCTGGCCGTGAGCACCTGCGTCTGTCACACAACATGCCAGGGTGTCTCCCGGGCCGGCCGACCCCCCCATCCAATCCGTGTCACTGTTCTCTGCTTTGTAGCTCCGCCCAAGACTGTCAAACCCGCCGAGGATCCGCTGAAGTCCGAGACGCTGGACGTGGCCAGTCCCTTCAACTATAACGTGCTGCAGCGCCTCGGCCAGTTCCCCCCGCTCATGCCCCACAAGCAGCTCGCGGAGTCGGCCAGCAGCAGCGGCCAGCAGAGCGCGGCGCCTGGCAAGCCGGCCATGTCCTACGCCAGCGCTCTACGCGCGCCCCCCAAGCCCAGGCCCCCGCCCGAGCAGGCCAAGAAGGGCAGCGACCCGCTGGCCCTGTTCCAGGAACTCAGCCTGGGCAGCGCATCGGGCGGCAGCGGCTTTTACTCCTATTTTAAATGATCACTTCTTTTCTTTTCTTTTCTTTTCTCTCTCTTTTTTTTTCTTTTTTTTCTTTTTTTTTTTTTTTCTGCCAGGGTGGACGTTTTCATTTCTGTTTGTATCCATAGAATTAAGATAGCTGGACCTCACCTGTAGATGCGCCTTCTTCTTCGTTTTCATATTAAATCTGTTTCTCACTTAATTGCTTTGCTGCTAGTCTTGCAACTAATTTTTTAAGAGTATATTCCATTATTTTGCATTTTCAACGTGATGGAATTTTGACAGCTTTTATGTAGAATAAAAAAAATATTTTTAAATTTGTGTATTGTTACATATGTTTGCATCAAGCTAGCAGCTAAGAGGTTAATTGTGCAACTATGAAAAAAAAAAACAAGAAAAAAGTTTGTCTAAAATGTATTTAAAAAGAAAAAAAATTGTAAGTAGCATTTACATTTATTCAATAATATTACCATTCGCTGGGTTTCTGTACCAGAAATGGCCAGTTGATGTACAAATGTATGTTATTTTTGCTTAAATTCATTTAAAAATTTTTTTTAAATAAAGGGGCAGCATCTTCTAAATACTTTAAGTTTTATCAGCTGTTATTTTTGGTGACAGGATGCTGCATTCTAAAACTTTTGTAGTTTTAGACCAAGTGTGACGTCCTGGAGGTCACTCGCCTCATGTTGCTTTGGGACAAGCTCTACTTGCAGCTTGTTTTCAACAGAATTTGATAGTTTCTTTTTCTTCTTCTTTTATTTTATTTTTTTTAAAAAAAAAACAAATCATGAAGCTGAAAAACTTTTAGGATTGTTGGTGCTTAGTAGACTTGATAACTATTTTAAAAATGCGTGAATTTAGTAAAATCCTTCTCCCCCCCTCACTATGCATGTATAAATGTTTGTAATTTGGCTTTTACCCACCCCCCAGACCCTCCAGTGGTATAAAGAATATTGCCGCTTTAAAGATTTTTTTATTTCCCCCTCCTCCAGTATAGTTTTGGTACCTGATTTGATGTTTACATTAAAATGTGACATTATCCATGACAGCTCACATATTTTGCTAACTTTTTTGTTAGAGGAACATAATTAATTCCGAAGAAAAAGAATGTCAAAATCTATTTCAATCTGGGGCAAAAAAAAAAAACAAAAAAAATACTTCCCTTTCTTTCACATCTTGATTCCCCTAAAACAACCCCACTGAACTTGTACAAAACATAAAATGTCAATGGCTCTCAACTCTTCTGTGGTCTAAGAATGGTTTCAAATGGACTTTGGTGGAATCCTAATGGTCAGCATTTACCCTCTTCAAAATTACCGTGTAGTCTTGTAACTGTTTGGAAACAATTCTCGTCCGTGCTGCCCTCCCGATCTAGCAATACTACCCTCCTGCTTCAGAGAGATCTGGAGACAACGACAGAGCCTTGAATAAAATCAGACAAGGCTCCGCCAGTGGCCAGTGCACACATGGGGCCTGGCGTTCTGTTCAGCAGTGTCTTCCTGGAGGGCCGCGTCGGAGTCCATCTGCCTGGGCTCATTTGTCCTCAGGGCTCAGGGAGAAATCAGCTCCAAACAACTGCTAGAGGCTCTGAGCTGGTTTTTTCGGGATTGGCCGGCTCTGGGCCTCGGGGACCCTCCCTCCATCTAGGAAACGCAGTTACCGCTCAGCCAGCTGCAGGGCTGACAAGGCCCTGAGCTTCAAGCTCGGCTGTGGGGCCACGCAGATGGGCAGATAGCTGGGCCTCAGACCCCCGATGGCAGCAGAGCCCCAGGTGGCTGGGCCCCTGGTCCTATACCTGGGATGACAGACCTGATGTCACTTGCCAGTTTCACTTGGGTTGGTCACCTGTAAAGAAGGCAGCATTGCTGGCCGTCAAGCCGGGTTGCCCCACATTTCTGTGACCAGAACTCCAGGGCATATAGCTCAAATGGAAACGAGGCCTTCCCCAGGGAGGGGGCTGTCTCTGGAAGCATACTTCTCTCCCCCAAGATGCGTCTCCATTCCCCGGAAGTTGATCGGACTACCACACAGGCTGGGTGCACATTCAAAAAATTTCTTGATCCTCTGAAGTCAGAACTGTCCTCTCTTTCACTTCACCCTGTGATGAAGTCATTGCCTGAGTTGTCTGCTTCTTATACTTGAACCTTAAAAAAAAAAAAAACTAGTTTTGAAGTTATTTATATTGAAAGAAGTCATAAGCCTCTCCACCACCCCCTGATAGAAATGCGTCGGCATTTGAGAGACACGATTGCTTATGGGAACCTGAGTGAGTGTGACATCTCCCTGTCCCGTCCAGTTAATTATTGGAAACAGAACTTCGGAGCTTCTTACGGGTCTTTTGTCATTCTGCAGCCGGCCATGATGGGTGTTTCCATCTGGGCTTCCATCAGATTCTGGCGGGCGTGTGCTTGCATCTCTAACAAGCTTATACTCTGTCTCAGAATTGCTTCCCCTGTCTTTTTAACCTTCCTGACATCTGTTACTTCTGCCTGAAATCTTGTCACTGTGTTTGAGCACATGGTACTACAAGACTCTGCAGCTTTCTGTTCTCTGATGCAGGGCTTCCGTTCAAGCTGCCTGGGGGTCCTGGGGTGGTCGGAGCTGATTCCCGCACATCAGACTTCCAGAATATTTCTCAGACTCTCCGAGGTTCAACCCCAGAGTCAGGGTGCAACTGGGTTTCTTTGTGAACTCTGTTAGCTCTTGGCTAATACCAACTACCACCAACTTCCTTTCCTTCCAGAACAGATTTCTTCTAAGTGAGGTTAATTGTTCCCAGGATGTCTTTCCCCTTCTTTGTTCTTTCTCGCCCTCTTGACATTTGCTTTTTCTTGCCAGCACGATTTTTTAATTCATTTCTCTTTTTTAATTTCAGTGCTAACTGAAGATTTTCCTTTTTACCTGAAATTCTTTGTGCGTGTGTGTGTGTGTGTGCACGCGCGTGCGTGAGAATCTGTAGCGTGTACATGTTAATTTTTGAGTCCTCATCTAAAAATGGATTTTTGTTCAGCCCCAAGGAGCCTTACAGAGATATGCTCTGCGTGCTTTAAAGACCTGGCTTGCCCTTTTGGTATCTGCTTCTCCAAATTGTTACTGGTTGTGCTTTGTTTTTGATAAATCAGTAGTTAATTATTGACCACGTAAGCTAACATGACCTTCAGTTTCCTTTCCTTGGAAAGACCATCTCTGTCGGTCGCTTTGTCTGTGTGAAATAACAAGCAGGGGTGTGTGGGGGTTTGCAGAAGAGATTTCTAGATTAAGTTCAGGTTGCGTGTAAATATCAACTGGTCTTTTTCCGTTCAGAGAACTGCAGAATAAGTCGTTTCAACAGAATTCCCACCGAATAAGCATTACCCAATTCAACAGAGCCATCTCCAAGACCTATTTGTGAAACTAGTTTCCTTGTTTCTGGAGACTTTGAAGTTGCTGAGAAAGCGAACTGAATTTCCTAACTTTGAGACCTAGGAGTATCTTGCTCTAGTGTAGTTGATTTTACATGTTTAATATGTTTCATGTATAGACATCTCAAGAGCAAAGCTATAAATAAAATATGAATGTTTCTCTAGCCACCTTGGCCAAGAGCCCAGGTGTGGAAAAGCAATTTCAAAATTTTAGATTTCAAATATTGTTACTAAGAAAATGAGATTTACTGAGATAGACATTTAAAAAGAGGTAACCTGATATTCCTAGATAGCATTGTTTCATATTGGAGACATATTAAAAACAGAATCCCAGGAAAAGCCTATACAAAGATTAAAACTTTAATTACACCAACAGGTACAAATTGCTGCTTTAGAATGGTAGTTAGGCTATCATCCATTCCCCCCCCCCCCTTGCTCCTCAAGGGTAGTAATTTGTCTTTATTTTTTTACTTATGAGCCATTATTTCTTGCTAACCCTTAGCATATGAAGACCCGCTGTTTGTGCCACTGCCTTGAAGTAGATGTCTTAATGGTGTCATTTTGTTCTTCCCTCTTTGCCATCTGATCCATAGACTCCCTAGCAATTAGAAATAATGGATAATGTCCTATAATTTCTCATTCAAAATATCCCTTGGTGATGTCCATCACGTATTCTAAAGGCATCGTCAAAGGGCCAGTGGCACATTAGTCTTCAAAGTGCTCGTTCTATTAGCTTCTCGATTTTCCCATCCACTTGAGGTCAGATATTTATTTCCCAAGGCTTTAATTGTAAAACTGCTCAATTCACACTGGTCCTACCTGTTCAATTATCATTTACCAGGCCACTGTTACGAGGAGTCTACTAACTCTACTAACATTTTACATAGGCGAGTTAGAAACTGACAGGATTAGTACTCTAGAATATCAGATTAAACAGTAAAAGGGTTTAACACGGAAAACAGTAAAATGGGCCTAAAGTTGAAAAGCTTGATGATTGGAACTACCTGCTTTGGCAGGCACCTAAAGAGACAGTCACAGGAGTTTCTAAATCTGTGTCAAGGGAAGGTAGCTTATAGAAGGACCTAGACTTAGTGATGTGAGTTGTGGTTAAGACCTAAACCCACAAACACAAAAAGGGCCGGAAGCTTTTTTAAAAGCTGGAGTATTAAGGGGGAAAAAAAAAAACGCAGAGACATTCATGCACTTCTAGTTTCAGACTATTAGGCCAGATTTTATTTGCAATTTGTTCAACAGAGATTTTTATTTTGATACAGATATTAAGCATAAAGCATAGTAAGTTTTATATAATTCTATGAGTTCATGAAATGATATTAGGGAATCTTCATTATGTTCTCGGGGGGAGTCTTCGGCGATTTTACACCTCTGAGAGGAGGTCTCGTCTCTCTGCCCTTTATTTTTGCATACTAGCATGTGACTGCCTGCCTTAGAACTATGTATAAGAGGGAAAAAAAATCAATATTACTATTTTCAAAGATTCGATTCTTTCAAAAACAAAATTTTTTTTTTCCCATTCATATTTTTCCTAAGTTCAAAAAGGGAAAGGGGTGGTAAGTTGCATGGATTCCAACAGAAGTTCCAGGGAGAATGCATTGAAAAAAATCTGCCCCGTGGGAAGGTTGTCAGACTATGAGTGGATAGAGCGATGGCGCTCAGCCAGGTTCAGGTCCTGGCAAATAACGGGGGGTCAGTGTGAGAGTTTTAGGGCTCCAGGATGGAGACAGGCCCTCGGCATACCCAGTGAGTCCCCAGGCTCAGCGAATGGGGCTGGTCCCCTTGCTGCCCTTGGAGGTCCCTCCCAAACAGGTCTTGCAGCCCCCCAGTTCCTGTTGGGAACTGCTCTCGGCGGTGTTCTCATGTGGAAGCCATGAATGGGGTGTTCCTGGGTCAAGAGCGCCACAAATTATTGCTGCTCCCTCATCCCCCCACCCTTGCACACACACATACACTCACACCCGGATCAGTGCCCCCGGGCTGCTGGGCCTTGAGGGGGGATCCAGGCTCTCTTTTCCCTCCAGGCTGCTTTGGAGTGTGTGTGCGGGGAAGCATCTGTTGGCAGTGCTCGGAGCCCGTCTCTCACTTGCCCTCCTGGCAGAGACGGCCCTGGTGGAAGGAAGCCATTGGCGCCCTGTGAATGTCCTCAGAGGCCTATGACATGAAGCTCTGGGACATCACCCTCGAATAATGTAATCCTAGTTTTGGGGGGCCGGGGTGGGGTATGGAATAGGATTTGCTTTTCAAATGATGCTTTTCTCAGGTTCACAGTTCTTTTGGGTTCTCGGCCATGCCAGGAGGTGCTGGGGGCCCCTGACGGGTGGTGTGTGGCAGGAAGGGGTAGTTCTCTGCTTGTGTGGCTGCCTTTGGGACACCTCCGTCCTCTCCGTCTTCGAAGCCATCAGGGGGGTGGGGGGTTCTCCCCAGCATGTCATTCGTAGGCCACAGGTGTTCGTGCCAGTTCTTTCTGAGACAAGGGCCCTGTCCCGGCTCTTGTGGGTGCTTCCCCAGACTGAGGCTGGTCCGGAGGGGTACTGGGGTGGCCTCCGGTTTCCAGTTGGGCTTTGAATTCCCTGATACTCAAAAGTGAAGGGAATCTGTTGAAGATGGTGGAGGCTGAGTTAGAGGTGGCAGG